ACTCCAAAACATTGTATTCTTAGACAGTTTTTTTTTATATTGTGACTGACTAATAATAGGAATTAAATTTTTTAAATTAATACACTACTTTTCAGTAAGAGGTCAGTAAGATGTTTGTAATTAAATTAATTTGTTTATTCAGCAGATATGCAGTACGTTGATCAAAAGTAACAGTAAAGATGTTTATTATACATATTATATACAGTATATATATATATATATTAGGGCTGTCAGTTTAACGCGTTAACTTAATTAATTAGTCATGAAAAAATAAAGCGATTAAAATATTTTGCCCCTAATAATAATTAATAATAATCAATAATTAATTAATTAATAAATGCCCCTGTATGTGTTTCACCCAAAAATGAAAATTACCCCATGATTTACTTACCCTCAAGCCATCCTAGATGTATATGACTTTCTTCTTTCAGACGAATACAAGAAGCGATGCGTTTGTGTAAGAAAAATATCCATATTTACAACTTTATAAACCTTAATCTATAACTTCTGCTAACTGTCGTATGCACATTCATGAGAGAGTGGCGTCCAGCGGATGACGTAGGCGTAGCGTAAACTCCGGTGAGAATATGCGAGTCTCGCGAGAAACAAGTTTTGTTTACAGCAAAGGAAAACCAGTATCCTCTTGGCTCATATTGAAATCCTCCGACATTTTTCTTTACAAATCCTCGTTTTGTACTACTAATTCGTGACCGGTGTTTTGTTTTGCTCTCTCCTCTGCGCTTCCACGTTCATCACTTCCGCGTTCGTCACCGCGTTTGCCTACGTTCTACGTCTTCCGCTGGACGCCACCATGCCACTCTCTCGTGAACGCGCGTTCGACAGTTAGTGGAAGCTAGAGATTAGGTTTATGAAGTTGTAAATATGGATATTCTTCTTACACAAACGCATTGCTTCGCTTCAGAAGGCCTTTATTAACCCCTGGAGCCGTGTGGACTTCTTTTATAATGGATGGGCGCAATTTTTTGGACTTCAAATTTTGGGCTACCATCCACTCCCATTATAAAGCTTGGAAGAGCCAGGATGTTTTTTAATATAACACCGATTGTATTCGTCTGAAAGAAGAATGTCATATACACCTAGGATGGCTTGAGGCTGAGTAAATCATGGGGTAATTTTCATTTTTGGGTGAACTATCCCTTTAAATGTGATTTTATACAACAGTTCAGTAAATATGAAGTTGATATTGTGTTATATTTTCAACACAACATTATGTGTTTTTGCTCAATTTTGCAGAGAACATACTACCTTTGAAGCCACAGCAGAACTGTTGCGCGTCTCATGCTGTATCATGCTGTAAAAAAACAGCGGTTTAGTTTCTGAATGAATCCGCGTTTTGAACAAATCGTGTGAATCAATGATTCAAAGGCCCATTCATAAAGAGAGCCGTTTACTTCATTCCTGAATGAATCAGCCATTTGAACTTCTCAAATGAATGAATGAATGACTCATAAAGACATTTACTGCCGCCACCTGCTGGCAGATTTAGTTTCTTATTTAGAGTATCCTTTCATAAAAAAATTTAAAATAATAAAAATAATAATAAATACATTAAAGGGATAGTTCACCCAAAAAATTTTAATTCTGTCATCATTTACTCACTCTCATGTCGTTTCAAACCTTTCTTTTGTGGAACATAAAAGAAGGTATTTTGAAGACGTTTGGTATAAAGCTGTTTTGGTTACCAATGACTTTCGCTGTATGAACAAAAAATACTGAGATGTTTCTCAAATTATCTTCTTTTATGTTCCATAGTTTACGTTGCAGTCTAAATGTTTATGTGTATTAAATTTTATGTTGAATCAAATAAAATATTTATTTAAAATAATAAAAATAATAATAAATACATTAAAGGGATAGTTCACCCAAAAAATTTTAATTCTGTCATCATTTACTCACTCTCATGTCGTTTCAAACCTTTCTTTTGTGGAACATAAAAGAAGGTATTTTGAAGACGTTTGGTATAAAGCTGTTTTGGTTACCAATGACTTTCGCTGTATGAACAAAAAATACTGAGATGTTTCTCAAATTATCTTCTTTTATGTTCCATAGTTTACGTTGCAGTCTAAATGTTTATGTGTATTAAATTTTATGTTGAATCAAATAAAATATTTATTTCTAAAGCTACAATTTGTAATGTCTATTTGATACTTTCTCATTTAACACACAAAAAAAGCTTTAAATAATCTAAATGTGGGTATTTTCACAGTCAAATTTATTTTGCGATTAATTAATCCAAACGTAATTAATTAGATTTAAAATGTTATATATGTACATATATGTATATATATACAGATACAGGGTTTCTGTTGTTTGATATAATTCAATTCAGATTTAAATGTTACTTTTCTAAATAAATGAATACTCCCACTTATGGTTTCCAGTTTAAATAAAAAAAATTAAAAAATTGTCTGCGCTTTGAGTTTAAGGTTGTTTTTTTTTTTTGTCTTACACAGGGCAAATTATATCCTACCGGATTTAACTTTAAAATAAACTTGACAATACATTTCCCATGTAATGATGAGCAATATGTCCTGTCCTGTTCACTTGTGTTACCTGACAGGTTTATCGAGGAGTGAAACGGCATCAGTGCTACCCTCCGCTGTGGCGCCGCTGGGTGTTGTTCCTGCTTCCAGGCATCGTATCTGCATTGATTGGTGTGTGCGTGTACGTCTTCGCTCAGACCGACAGCAACTACTACTACACTCATTCCATATGGCATGTCATGGTGGCCACGAGCGTGGTCTTCCTCTTACCACCCCGCGAAAAACACGTTCCCCCCTGGGGCTGGACCAACAAAATCTGTAGCTACAGGAGATGTAAAAATGAGAAAGTAGAGCTTTACACTGTCACCTAAATACACTGCTATTGATATTTGCACAAACTGTGCATTTTAACACTTTTACAAACATTAGTGGTTAGCTTTAAGAAACACGTCAAGCTTTATCTGAAAGATTCTCCTCTGTACGCACACTAATAACTACTTAAAGGAATAGTTTACCCTAAAAATGTCATTTTTACTGTCCTTCTAAACCCATAAATCAAATCAATGGAACACAATAGGAGATTCTTGGCAATTCATAATCAAGTGAAGATTATCAGTGAATAACAAACTTGTTTTGCTTCCCACACTAAGCTATTGTATGACTTCAGAAGGCTTGGAATATAGTGCATTAGTCATGTAGACTACATTTATGGTGCTTTTTGATGAATAAAAACTTATCCTTTTGTGTTTCATGGGGAAAAAATAACCGCTTACAGGTTTGAATGACATGAGGGTGAGTAAATAATGCCATAATTTTCATTTTTAAATGAACTATTCCTTTAAACAGGATACTTTTACACTTTTTAACTTTTCAAATGAGTGATTTCACAGAGAACAACAGCAATGTCAATCATTTAAGAACGAAAACGAACAAAAGGCAACTTAGTGAATATCATTTGACCCAGTTTAGTTTATCAGAGAATCAATTTATCAGTTAATTACACTGCATTTGTCATGTTCTTTGTGGACAAATGTCATTTTTTATCGCTTTTGAGAAAAACACTACTGATTTCTAGGTTTATTCAGCACTTTTTTCAGTAGATTTTTATGAGCAGCACCACATTGAATCTGCACCCACAGAACTGGGATTGTTTCTGCAGAAAAGATTTTTTTTAAATAACACATTTAACTATAGTTAAATACTTTTCACAGAATTCTGTAGATTTTCTTTCAAAATCAGCACAGAAAATTTTAAAAAATAAAGAAATTGCAGATTCTGTCTGGACGTACTTATGACGTTGAGGATCGTGTTGGGCATTTTCATTACCAGAGAGGACTGTTGTCTGTGTCTCTGAACTATTGTTTGCTTACACTGGAGAACAGGTGCAATAGTTCCTCCTTTAATAGCCAAAATTGTTTTACACTATTATTTATACCACTGTCAGGAATGTACAAGAAATGACCTCCCTTCTTCCTCCCTAAAAGCCTTGGAATTTTTCGCGAGATGTTGTTCTTATGTTTCCGAGGGGAAGAACTTCTTAAACTCACGTAAAATTGTGTTTGCTTGAGCCAGTATGTGAAATGATGCTTGTATGCCAGTATGAATGGCTGTGTCTCCTTCATAGGTTAAAGGTGTGTGTGTGTGTGTGTGTTTGTAATGGGTATCTGATGTATTTAAGATGAACTTCTGTATTGGTCAAGGCTTTACATAGATATGCATAATGCTGTACTTCTGAACCCTCAGGCCAGTTTAAACTTGAAGAGGCATCTGTGGACGTTTATAATAAGATTTACATTTACATAGCAGCTGTCCTTTAAAGATCAAATGGATGTAAATCAGTGTCGCGGTTTTCCATTTAACGTGATTCATGTCTTTTTTTTTCCCCCAGAGGAGGTAAAGTGTTAAATAGGGTTGGAATATTATACAGATGTTTTACAATGTTTTATATTCATTTTGTATTTGAATTGATATTGAAGAAATATGAGCTAAACTAAGATATAATAGTTTCATTTGTAAATCTGTGAATCCCAAAACCTTTTCTTCTTTCTTATGGGATTTAGTTTTGATTTAATATCGCTTATCATGACAATCCTTGTTCTTCTTTGTGTCCATTGGTAGGCCTTGTAAATTGCACAAATATGCACTTGTGTTTGGGGTTGAGAATGAGGCAGTGCAGTCACAGAGATTATGTTTAATGTTAAAGTTTCTTTATTGTTGTTTTTAGTCATTTTGATTTGTGCTCTTGATTCCTGTCTCCTTTTTTCCTAAAATGATCTGTAATGTATATGCCAATAAATGGAAAAAATAAATTATTCAATGATTATTTAAAACTGGCTTCTTAGTCTTGGCAGATGTTCTTAGATGTACTGTCCATTCAAGTATTCACTGAAGCACTGTTATAATATGTGATGTAAATATATGTCAATAAACTGTGACAATAGTACATTTATAGCATAAAGGAAAAACTTTATATCAAATAAATACATTAACAACATGACAAATGTGTGACAAAGGCAAGTTACACTTAAAACACTGAAGAAAACACATTCGTTGAACAGTTGAAAGTTGGTAATATATATATCTGATGTCTTACGGCATTATTGCTACATCATAAACAGTATCTTTGAAATGCATGAAAAGCTGTATTTCTACATATCATATAGAGAAATGTGAACAGAGGAATCAAGCACCCTTATTAGGCAATATAATGACCTTTAGTTATAACATCTGTTTTGTAGAGCACAACAGGAAGCAGTGGAGATGCCACTTACAGCTGTGTTAGGTAACATAATAGCACAAAATAAAAACAAGCAGTAAATATTGTGTGCATGTTTAAAGCCGGGATGCTGTTCCGGAATTAGAGTTTGAGTTCTTTGCCTTCCCATCATCCTCTGCGGTTTGGGTGGCGAGGGCAGGCGAGGGGCTGGAGTGACGCTGACGACGCATGAACGGGAAAACACTGGACATACACACAGACAAACACTGATAAGACATCTCTTCCTCTGCAGACCAAGCAAAATGGGTTGTATCCGTCTTAGGCTTTTACCTTTTCTTGGTCTCCTGTGGTACTATGGCTCTGGCTAATAAGTTCTTGTAGAGTTCAGATTTGAGATAACGAGGGTACGAATCCTACAAAGAAACACAAAAGACATTTATTGAACTTTGGCAAGAATATTCAAATCCTTTTTGCATCTTTTCACATCATAAAAGCTTTGTTTATAATATTAATATCCATATTCAAGTGACCCATGTTCATTTACACCCTATCAATCACTTGGAAGTCTTCACTTCTTCAGTTTAAAAGTTTGGGGTCATTATGATCTAAAAAAAAAAAAAATCAATGGTTTTATTCAGTAAGGATGCATTAAACTGATCAAAAGTGACATAATTGTTCTTTTTTACATAATTCCAAAAATGTGTATTTTAACTACACGCTGTTGTTTTAAGAATGTAAGAATACTCCCCAAAAATATTAAGCAGAACAACTGTTTTTAACACTGATAATAATAGGAAATGTTTCTTGAGCACTATTAGAATGATTTCTGAAGGATCGTGTGACACTGAAGACTGGAGTAATGATGGATGGATTATCTCGGCAAAGGAGAAGTGCTCACTAACACAGATTTGTGAACAATATTTGAGAGAAATAGGCCTTTTGTGTACATAGAAAAAGTCTTAGATCTTTTGAGTTCAGCTCATGAAAAATGGGGGCAAAAACAAATTTATCCACATTCTGCATTTGATCAAAGAGCTAAAAAAAAAATCAATGGTTTTATTCAGTAAGGATGCATTAAACTGATCAAAAGTGACATAATTGTTCTTTTTTACATAATTCCAAAAATGTGTATTTTAACTACACGCTGTTGTTTTAAGAATGTAAGAATACTCCCCAAAAATATTAAGCAGAACAACTGTTTTTAACACTGATAATAATAGGAAATGTTTCTTGAGCACTATTAGAATGATTTCTGAAGGATCGTGTGACACTGAAGACTGGAGTAATGATGCTGAAAATTCAGCTTTGACACCACAAGAATAAATTACTTTAAAATATATATACAAATACAAAATAAAAAGAGTTATTCTAAATTGTAATAATATTTCACAATATTATTGTATTTACTGTTTTTTTGTTCAAATAAATGTAGCCTTGGGGTGCATAAGAGACGTCTTTCCAAATCTTTAAAAAATATTATCAACCCCAACTATATACACTGAACAAAATTATAAACGCAACACTCAAGATATTATACCTTTTTCATGAGGAAGTAAATGTGCATTTGAGCATCATCAAAGACAAAACGATGAGGGCGCTTGAGTCCTTCCAGTGTCTTTTCCATGGTCTTGCTGTCAATATTCACCCAGCGACTTGCACCAGGAGCCAGGAACTGTCTGATAGATTATAATGGAGATCAGTTACAAGGTTCAGCAAAAAAATCACATGAATAAGAGACAAATTAGAGGTGATGAGAGACTTTCATTCATATGGCACACTGATTAAGTATATACGGTATAGTACACACATACTGATTTAGTTTATATAGATTTATTTTTGTGATGGCAAAGCTAATATTTTTGGCAAACCATGGTACATTTTTTGATGAACAGAAAGTTCAAAAGAACAGCATATTTAAAATATAAATATTTTGTAACCGTATAAATGTCTTTAAAATTGTTGCATGGATAAAATATTAAGGTCATACTTGTAAACCTCATCCACTTTCCCTGGAATTTTTGCAGTCTCGCCGTGACGAACGTCTTCACAGGCCTGCCAGAAACACAAGTTCTCCGCTGATAACACGAGAGAAACCAAGAAGGGGAACAAGAGAGAAGCAGACAAAAGAAGATTTTGAGGGAGAGAGAAACATTAAAAGTTGTTACATTATTCATATATACAGAGTGTGCAGCAGGATAAAAATGGAATCTATTAAAGCTCTGAAAGTGCAGAAGGGAACGACAGTTTTGGGACGCTCTTCAGAACTGGGTTAAAATAAAAGATGTTTATATAAGAGGGATTCAAACAAAAACAAAAATATTGCAAAAATACCACAGTGATACCATGATTTTGGAAAATTCCATGGTATTCTTTGATGTGAATACAATTTATAAATGTAGATTATCATTTAGTACTAGAGACCAGCTGATATTGATTTAATACAACCGTACCAAATCATTTTTTGTTTAAGTTTCTGATACGCAGAACTGATTTTGAAACAATTTAATTCTAGTAACTAAATGATTCATCACCAGCCAAAGATGAACAGTCTGCTACACAGATTTCAATTAACCTGTATATTTATTATAATTAACACTTGTCCAAAGCTGCTTAAAGTAATGTAACTAAAATGAAAAATAACAAGTCTTTTGTAATATAAGATTTTGCACAATTTTGCTCACTATGCTAGTTTATCTTTGTTTTGTTTTGAAATGAAATATGTTTAAAATGTTACAAAAGATGTGTACCTGAAGACTGGAGTAATGATGGTGAAAATTCAGCTTTGCATCACAGAAATAAATTACATTTGAAAATATATTCAAATAGAAAACCGTGATTTTAAATTGTAAAAATATTTCATAATATTACTGATTTTACTGTATTTTTGATCACATAATTGCAGCCTGAGAGAGCATAAGAGACTTCTTTCAAAAACATTTAAAATCAAAAACCCAAAACTTTTGAACGGTATTGTAAACATGAGTGGCTGTTATGTAAAAAGTCAAATAATATATAATTCCAAACATTAGATGTAAACACAGTTGTTAGCATTGTTGGGTGCTATTCTATATTGCCCAACCAGATGGCGCCATTTATTAGTAAACCAAATATTGAACTGATTAAAGCAGCACTATGT